CCTTAATATAAACAGCCCTAACATGCTTTCCATTATTTTTTTAGGTCATTAATACCATTAGTTAGTTCAATTACTTGCCTAAAATACAAATGCCTAAAACATAAATTTATTATTAATTTGAATTTCGCTATATTTTAATGTTAGAGAATATATTTTTTCTTATTCGTATATTTTGAAGTTTTCTTTTCTTCTTCTTAACTAAACATCACTAAAATAATTGAAGTATCTTTATTTAATGCTATTTACATCATTTGAAAGTATAATTTACAATCGAATTTAGAGTCTCATATCATGATTAATTTATTAGAACTAAAGATCTTTTCAATTAAATCTATGTTTATTAAATATAAACAATATATAAATCAATATAATTTTGCTGTATATTTATAGCTTTCAAAAGATGTAAAGATGTTATAGATATAATACTTCTGCCCTTTTTTATAAAATTGGTATTTTTTCTTTTGTTTTTATTTGTAATTTTTTAATATTGTAATTTTGTTTTGTATTTTTAATTTTTTTAATATTTCTTAATTGTTTTAATTAAATATTGGAGGATTATTTTACTAGTCAGAAAACTCGTCACATCCTCATAAACCTCTATTGAATTAAAATCGATAAATGACATATCTTAATATTAAATTAGAAGTCTTTAATGTAAAGACTAATTCCATTAATTTTATCTTTTTATTATGAGTGAATTTTAGTAGCATAGTCACTGCTAAATTCAAAATTTATGCTAAAAGTTAAGAACTTTTAGTCACAATTATCAATATTTTATAGAAATCTCTGTCATTTTTGTACACCTTTTAAAAAAAGCAAATTTATTAATATTATTCAAAATCAAGTCCATTGTTACAAAGGAGAATTATTAAGTAGGTTTAAGAAAAGCATCATAAAAATAACTAAATCCAATTCAAGTAAGATACATTCATACTTATCTATGAAGGATAAAAGTCCAATTATTTAAGTAATATATTGTGCATGATTATTATTTTAGTAGCAATTTAGCGCAAATTATTAAACTTAGTATTAAAACTTAAACTATTTACAGCACCAACTAAAGCAAATTGCGCTTCTTCCTTTAAGTATTAAGTAAACACATAATGATAACAACTTTTCGATCAATAAATCAAAATAACCTTAAGACTATGTTGAGTTCACAAATAAGGCTAAGACTCAGCACTATTATCTTAAAGAAATTTACATAATATTAAATCTCATATTTTGAATTTATTACAACCAATTTTAAATCAAATGGATGAAGAATTAACTCAAAAAAAAGAGTCTTCATACTTAATTCTATTTAATCAATAAAAATAAAGATCAATTTATAAATATTTACAAGGTTCCTCCTATCTTAAATAATTTTTTACTATAATAATCACAGTTTCTTCTCTCTTTCAATAAAATTTTATCTTATCGAAGGATGAATTCTAACTTTTTTTTTTTTATAAAGGAAAGTATTTTCTAAAAGTTGTGCAAGCTTTCAAATTCAAAAGAATTAACAAAATGAAAGGATCTTGGTTACTTATAAAATGATAATCTGTTCTATTTATCTTATAAAAGATGTTTAAATAATTTTAATAAATAAAAATAATTCAGATTTCATCAGAATTATTTTAAAAACAAAAATTGATAATTTTATACAAATAAATTGGTTTGCTCATTCCATAATCACGCTATTATTTTAAACCATCAAAATCATTGTTATCTAATAATCTCTAACTAAATATTTAAACGATACAACTAAAATTAATCATATTTAAAAAGTAGTCATTTATAAATGTAGATTCATTAATATATTAACAAAATAAATTTAATTATAATAACTTGATAAAATGAAAACCCTACAATATGAGGATCTACATATATTTATTAAACTCAAATTATGTAAAACAAAATGAGTTTCTATACACCTTACATTCTTGCATCCCTTAAAATGAGGAACTTATAATACAAATATTAAATTGAAAAAAATAATTTTAATCAACAAAGCTAAATTATATTAATTTTGGTATTAAATACAAGGTATCATCAACTTACAATACTCAAAAGGAAAAATTATAGTTTTAAATTTTTAAAGAAATAATGTATTTTTGTACTTATTAGTATCATTAACATCCATTTTATTATCATTGAAAAAAATCAATATAACTAACTAAGTTAAAATATTGATTTATACTAATTACATGATCTTTATAACATTTTCAGATTTTACTTTTTTCAATCATTTTAGTATTATATATTACTAAAAATAGAAAATTTATATTATATAAATAGAGATAGAGGTTGATTTTTTTTTTACTAAAGGACTCCTGAATCTTTAAAAATGCAGAGATCTTCCTCTAAGTCCTTCATATATGTAAGTAAATTTCTTTTTTATTCAAACTAATATAACGCATTTTTAAATCACTATTAATATTTTAAGTTTTATTGATTGGTTATGCTTGTAACATAATTTTACTAGTTTTGAGTAGTTATTCTAGTCTTTTAAGATATTTAAAATTTCTTTTTATTTTATGTCTTGGTAATTGCTTTGATAATTTAATTTATATTGCTGTATGTATAATTCATACTATTCTTTCTCCTTTTTGATTACCTCTATTTTAAGTTAACTTATTTACTCCATTTAGCAACAATTTTTTTTTAAATTTATTCCTCTACATAATTATATCCATCATTTATTCGAATATATTTCTATTAACCTTTCTATTTGTATAGAATTCTTCTAAATTGGCATGTCTTGTTATTGTAGTAAAGTTTATTAGGATGAAATGACACAATTTTAGTTTCACATAGACCTCCACAAAACTGCCATAAATATTTACTTATAATATAAAAACTAAATTACCTTAGTCAATTGATGAAGAAATTACATTTGATTAAACTCTTGAAGGCAGTCTAGTACCTTTTGCATTTAACAAAACATTCTTCAATTATAAATTATAAAAAAATAATAGAGATCATACGCTTTTGTCTTCCTCTTTTTTTCTTTTATTCTCCCGTAATTGAAACGCTTAACCAATCCATTCACACTTGTACAGATATAATATATCTTTTATTTAAGAAAAAAACAATAGCATTAGAGCAATTAGGAATTCAAAAATTTTTCTTACCTAAATGAAGAGGAGCTCAATTTGTCTAACAAACTCTTAAAGAAGAAGAAGGCGACAAGAAGTTTGTGACTTAATATCAAGAATAGAGCAACTTATGAAATGTAAAATATGATACAATAGAAATTTAGCTGTTGAGCAGGTGAAATGTTGAAATTCAGAGTTCAAATACAAGAAGCGAATGATTACAACACAAAGAGTATACAACTTGGATAGGTTGATTGTTTTAGTTCCTTTCTAGTTTGAAAAGTATTCAAAAATTAAAGATAGTGCATCTTGATTGGAGATTACAATTAAGAAACTCATTAACTTACAGTTAGAAGCCTGCTCATGGATTGTATCGACGACAAGAATGTTCATTAATTTAATTAATGATGAGAGTTGATTTTGATATTTAATTGTGCTACAAAGCGTTTGGAAAAATAAATATGTATTCAAACAAGCCAAAAATATAAAATTATTGATTTATTCAAAAATAAATAATAAAATTATAATGAATTACTTTTATGAATATTAAAGTATTGATCCTGACCTTATTGGTCGCTCTTGTAACAAGTTAATAGTATAGTATTTCTTAATGTGATTGTTCCTAATTGCTTTCAGAAGAAGATTGCTAAAAAAATGATATGATAAAATGTTAATGGGATAGTACAAAGAATACATGTAAAAATTAGGATACAACAATTAACCCAGTCATAAACTATGCAAAATATTGTGATAATTTTAAAGAAATGGAATGTCCAAAACAAAAACCATGTGGCAATTGTGGATCTTACTCTGCATGTGCTTGGGTCGAAGGATAGTGTACATTTTTTACAGATTGCACAGTATTCAACAAAACAACAGATTCAGATTGTTAAGCTATTAGTAATAAATGTATTACTGATGGAGTTCATTGTGTTGAAATTGATAATTGTGACAAATATAAAAAACAATAATCTTGTGTAAAAAACTTATTAGATAATTTTTGTTATTGGGATACAAAAAATAATAATTGTGTTGATGCTGATACTTGTGATAAATTACCAATTAAATTCCAACCCCATACCAAGACCTGTAGACATGAAATACAAAGTTGTACTGCAAAATCAGGAGGTGGATGTATTGATAGTGGAATTAATTGTAGTGATTAAAGTTTAGAAATTTAATGTGTTTGGGATTAATCAATGAAAATGGAATGTTATTGGAATGGAACATAATGTAAAGATAGAATATGTGATAATGCACCTACTACTTTAAATAGTGACGATGCTTGTAAATTATTCAAAACTGATGGATCATGTACTACAAAACTTAATGGTGGATGTATTACTAGAACTACTTGTTAAGCTGCTACAATATCAGCCGCTTGTATTAAAAATAGTAAAAATGAAGATTGTTATTGGACTGGAACTGCATGTGTGGATAAAATATGTTCAAATGCACCAACTACATTAACAACTAATTCAGCTTGTGCTGCATTTTCAAAAGGATGCATAACTAAGTAAGGGGGAGGATGTGTTCTAAATGGAGATTGCTCAGCTGCTAATATTTCAACCGCATGTGTTAAAAACATCAATAACTTTGATTGTATATGGGATTCAACTTGTAAAGAAAAAACATGTGTAAATGCTCCAAAATCTAATACTACTCATGATTAATGTACTTCTTATTTATCAACATGTACAGTTTAATCAGGAGGAGGATGTCAAAAGAGAACATGTGACAATGCTCCTATAACATTGAATACAAATGATGCATGTGAAACATATTTACCTGCAAATAAATGTATTACCAAAAATGGAGGTGGATGTACAATTAACACCACTTGTTCACTTATCTCAATAGAAGTTGCTTGTATCAAAAATTCATTAGGCTAACCTTGCTTTTGGCATGCTGCTAGTGGAAGTTGCAAAGATAGGATTTGTGCAAATGCTCCCTCTAGTAATAATAATCACGAAACTTTGTTAATCTTTTTTGAATACATGTACTGTGAATTCTACAAATACAGGATGTGTAGAAAAAACATGTGAGAATTCATTAACTTTATCAATTTGTGATAAAGATTTAAACAACAATATATGTATCTGGAAAGCTAGGTGTTATAAGAAATAATGTGCAATGGCTTCAAATTCAATAACATCTCATTCTGAATGTCAAACTTATTATTCAAGTTGTACATTAAGCAACACTGGAAAAGGATGTGTAACAATACCTCTAAAATGTGAAGCAATTACAATAGAAGCTGCTTGCAAAATAAAAGCTAATAAATAATCTTGTGGTTGGACAGGATCTTAATGTATTGATAAAGCCTGCAATACTGCTCCCAAAACTATTTCGACAACTTCAGACTGTCAAGCTTATTTATCTTCTTGTGTGGCTAATAATCCAATAACAATAAATGGAACCTCAACTATTTAAGGATGCTAAGATTTACCTAAAACTTGCGATTCTAGAAAATCATCTGAAAATTGTAATATTACAAGAGCAACATTTCCAACCTGTTTTTGGGATTCTTTATAAAACAAATGCGTTGAAAAATCTTGTACAACCGCAAATTTATCAGGTTCACCAGGAGCACTTTCAATTGGAAAATTCACATTTGATAATTGTTAAAGTTACTTGAGTATATGCATTACAAATAATGCTCAAGATAGCTGTACTTAAACATCATATCCTTGCATTTCAAATAATAGTTAAGATGGATGTATGATTAAGCCCACAAGTTGTTCATAGTTAGTTCATTCAAATTGTAAAGATAGATCTAAATCTAATGGTGATTGTTATTGGAATGGATCTAATTGTGTCGAAAAGATATGTACAAATATAATATTAACAACACATAACGATTGTTATAACATATTCAATCAATGTACAGTTAATGATGATAGTACAGCATGCTTACCCCTTAGCCACTACTTGTACATCATATAAAATCTAAGAGAATTGCAAAATTACATCTGCATAAAAGAATTGTTATTGGACAGGAACAGTTTGTAGAAATGCGATTTGTGATGACACTCCAGATTCTGATCTATTTGATTCAGATGAAGAATGTCTTAAATATCAAACTCAGAATGAAACATGTACAATAATTGCAAAAGTGGGAGGTTAAGGGTGTGTTTAAAAATAGCCAGTTTGTTCTAATTATAAAACTTCTAGTTAATGTCATAAGACTATATCAAATTTAAATGTTTAAGATGATTGTAAATGGATTAATGGAATATGCTATTCATTGTCAACTTTTGCAACAGGAGCTTGTTCTACATTTAAAGGAACACAAGAAATGTGCAAAGCTTATAGATAGGGATGCACCAATGTAGCTAATGCTAGTACTTCAACTGCATGTACATTAGATTGCACTTTAAAAATTGGAAGTGGATTGACATTCTAAGATTGCTAAAATGTAGACCCAACTTGTTCGGTTAAAAAGGATGGTAGTGGTTGTATTGTAATTTAATCTACATGTACAGGATATGGTACAACAGATGTAAATTGTTATAAATCTAATGCAACTGGAACACAAGCAAATTGTGTCATGAATAAAGCCACACCACCAAGTTGTTAATCAGTGAGTTCAGCGTCTGATTGCGCACTTGTAAGTGGATCAGGAATATATCATGCTAAATGCTAAGCATTTAATATTGCATGTACATCTTTAGGTGATGGAAGTGGGTGTTAAGAATTTAAAGCAAATTGCACTTCTTATACTGGTAATACTGATAATTGCACAGTCTCTTAATAAGGTAAATGTTATCTAAATGGTTCTGATTGTATTCGTTTTTCTAATTGTTTTTCAATTACTGGAACAAACCTTACTCATTAGATATGTAATTCCTATAACGCTGATTGTACAGTAAATAAATAAAAAACAGTGTGTTAAGATAGGAGAGCTACATGTGATTTATACACATCTCAAGAATAATGCACAGTATCTGCAGCTGCCTTAAAAGCAAGTTAATGTGTTTGGAGTGGAACAAAATGTCTTGCTGTTACAGTAGTTGCTACTCATTGTTCCTACATAACTGGAACTTACTTGACAGATTCATTATGCGCTACTTACAATAATAATTGTACTGTAAATTACGAAAAGACTGCTTGCTAGGAGAAGAAAGCTTAATGTAGTTTATATTCAACTAAAAGTTCATGTACTCTATCATAGGCGACTGGTACAGCAGGAAAATGCATATGGAATAATGGAAGTTGTCGTATAATGATATCCCTTGTGACAATTGCTGGATCTATTAAGGACTATTAAATGTCAAGTGCAAGATGTGCATAGTTTAATCCGGCTTTTGCAGCCAAAAAAGATGGGTCTGAATGCTTTATAAAACAAGGTTCATGTAGTCTGTACACAGAAGACTATTGTACAACATCCTCAGCATCAGGTACAGCAGCAAATTGTATTTGGGATGGTTCACATTGTTTAGCATTTACATCTGGTTCTCTTTGTAAACACATTCAAGCATTTGAAATAAATGAGAGCTATTGCCCTTCAGTTAATCCATTGTGTACTACAAAATTAACGAGAAACGGCTGTTATGGAAAGAAGGCTAATTGTTCAGATTATGATGTTGAAGGTGATTGCTAATAATCACTAGCTTCTGGTACAGCAGGGTTTTGTATATGGACAGGTTCAGTTTGCACTTATGTGACAGACCCTGCCAATCAATGTGCTAAGATACTATCTGCTCTTCTTGCAACAGATGAATAATGTGCTAGTTATCATGCTTCTTGTATTCCTTTAATGAATGGAGCTGGATGTCAATATATTCAATCAAATTGTGCTTCATACACAGAAGCAAAAAATTGTTATAAATCATTGAATGACGGTTATTGTGCTTGGATAGATAGCAAATGTATATTTTTCACAAGTCCTAGTTAATGTGCTTCAGTTTCTGGTTCTAGTTTGACTAGTAATTATTGCAATGGATTACACAAAGAATGCTGGCCCGCTACAAGCAAGTAGACATGTTATTAGATGAAATCTACTTGTGCACAATATAATAACGAAGGATAATAATGCATTAGAACTTTAACTAATGGAAATGCTGGACTCTGTGGTTGGAGCAATACTGGTTAATGCTATTAGATAACATCTGCCAGTTAATGCAATACCTAGAATGTGGGAATTGTAAACCCCTCTTATATAACAACAGATGCTTTTTGTGCTGTTTTTAATGCTGGCTGCATTGCAGATGCTGAGAAAAGAGCTTGTTAAGAACTGCTAATAAGTTGTTTACAATACACAGAGATGTCGAAATGTAGTTATGCTGGAAATTCATAATCTAAGGTTAGATGTATTTGGAGCGATACAAAATGCACACCAGTAACAGATCCTGCTACTTATTGTACAAAGATCAAGACCTAATTATGAGTAATTTAGTGATGCTACTTGTGTATCTTTTCATAGTGGTTGCACAGTCAAAGCAGATTAATCTGGCTGTCAAGAAAGAAAAGCAGTTTGCGCGAATTATACAACAGAAGACAGTTGCACATATTCAGCTGCTGCATCTCCTTTCAATGTATGTCTTTTTCTCAATTCTAATTGTGTTGCTGCAAGAGAATTATTAACTGAGTGTGCAGCTATTACTGCATCTTCAGGTTTGAGTGATTCCGATTGCTCTGGGTATAACTCTATCTGCACATCAAATAAAGCTGGGACTGCTTGTTAAGATAAAAAAGGAGCATGTACAGATTACCAAAATCAGGATACATGTTCTGTTTCCTCAAGTTCAAAATGCATTTGGAAAACTAGTTGTATTTCTGTTAGTGATGCAACTACTGACTGTGTATATGTAGTTGGAACAAATTTAACTCATGATATTTGTGTCTCTTATAACAATGGATGTACAGTAAATAAAGCAGGAACCTCTTGTTAAGAAATGAAAAACACTTGTGCAGATTATACAAAAAGCGAGAATTGCACTAGGTCGCAAGATTTTGGACCATAAAGTAATTGTGTCTGGCATTCTACATGCATCTCTGTCACCAATACTTCTACTGATTGTGCTTATGTAACTGGTACAAATTTGACTGACGATCTATGTGCTTTATATAATCCTGATTGCACAGTTAACTACTCAGGATCTGCTTGCTAAGAAAAGAAATCAAATTGTTCAGAATATACTTTGAAAGAAAATTGCTCACCAGATTGCGTATGGGATGGCAGCATCAATTTGCCTTTTTATATCAGATCCTTCCACTTAATGCAACTTAGTTAATGGAAAGACAGGACTCAACCTTGCAACGTGCCAATTATATAATAGTGAATGTGTTAATTTAAAGGATGGTACTGGATGTTAACACTCCTAGACAGATTGTAAAAATTATACAACTTAGAACTCATGTGTTGCTTTGGCTAATGGTACTTCCTGTTTATGGTATGAAAATTCTTGCTACCAAATAACAGGTACTACTTGTAGTGCAATTACTGGGGCTGATCTGAATCATAATATATGTTTCTCTTATAACAAAGGCTGCACCTCATTAAGTGATGGCACTTCATGTTAAGATTATAAATCAACTTGCGAGTAGTATTCAGGAACAACTGAATCATGTACTTAATCCATAAATGTGAAATGCTACCTCTATAATTCAAATACTTGCATTACTATTTTAAATGTTTCTACTGATTGTGCTAAGATTACAGGTGTATCATTAACTTATGAAATATGTTAATCATATAATTTGGGATGCAGTGTTAATAGAGCTAAGACTGCTTGTGTTCAAAAAGCAGCATAATGTTCTGGATATACAACTAATATGACTAATTGCTATCAAGCAGGAGAAGGATTATGTATTGCATCCACTAGTAATGATTAAGCATGTGTGCCCGCCTTAAGTGTATCTACCTGTGAAACAGTATTTTTAGGAACAGACAATTATACTCATGATAATTGTAGTGCAATCAAAGCTGGATGTACTGTAAATGGAAGTACAGGATGTATGGCTAGAACTTGTGCAAATGCCACAGGTTTTACATTTAATCATGATAATTGTTATTCTTGGTTGAAAACTTGTACAGCTAAATTAGACTAATAATGGTTGCACTATCATGACTGCAAAATGTTCAGATTAATCATCTACTTAATGTCTAAATGCAATAGAGGGAGTGTGTTTAGTGTTTAATTCTATTTGTATTAGAAAAGGATGTGATACAGCTCCATCAGATGCTTCTCATGATGATGATACAGAATGTTCTAATTATTCATAGGCTTGTACAGTTGCAAGAGCAGGTGGATGTCAAGTTAGAACTGCTTGTTCATTATATAAATCGTCATTATAATGTAAATTAGATATGAATGATAAAAAATGTTTCTGGAATCCATCTGTTAAGACATGTGTTGATTTGGCTTGTCTGTCAAATCATAGAAGTTTCAAATTTATATAATACTCATGCTAAATGCTTTGCAGTTGATTCGAATCTAGGTTGTACAGTAAGAGCACTTAATAAAGTAGCTGTTCCAGGTTGCATGGCAAGAGGACCATGTAGTTCATATACTATTAAAGATTAATGCATAACTAATGCAAGTGGATTAGATTGTGTTTGGAATACAAATAGTAGTTTACCTGAACCTGCTTGTTAGGATAAGTCATGTACAACTGCTCCTACTTCAACATTAACTCACAATGACTGCTTCAATTATTATAATACACAAAGTATCAAATGTACAGTGTATGCTAGTCCAGGTGCTAATGGTGGATAACCAATTTTAAGAGGATGTTAATAAACTGCTGGCTGTTCTACTTATATTGATATTGAGTAATGCAAAATAAATGATTTTGGAGATCCTTGTGGATGGAATGGAAAAGAATGTAATGATAAATCTTGTTCTACTGCTCCTGCAACATCAGAATTTGATGATGATGCAAAATGTAAAGCCTATTTCAACAATAAATGTACAGTTTCATCAGATGGATAAGGTTGTATAGATATTCCAGAGATTTGTGAATTAATGAATTAGAAATAATGTTATTACAATAGTACTGGACAGCTCTGTTACTGGACTGGAACAGATTGTATTACTAAGACTTGTGAAAATGCACCCGAAGAAACAGCTACAGCTGAATAATGTAATAACTATTTATATGGATGTACAATAGATGTTATAAAATGCAAAATTAAAATATGTGAAGATTATGTTTTAACAACAGATGAACAATGTAGTTATGCGTTATCTACATGTACAACAAACGGTATTAATTGTGTAGCCAGAGGAACATGTGTTTAAGCTTAAAACAAAGCAGGATGTGTTGTATCTTCTACTGGATAATCTTGTGAATGGATACCAGATGTTGTAGATTCTTAAAATGTTGTAACTACTGCAGCATATTGTACAATTAAAACTTGTAATACTGCCCCAATTAGTTTATAGACTGATGTAGATTGTGGAAAGTATTTTACAAATTGTACAACTAAAAGTGGAGGAGGGTGTGTTGCTAAATCAAGTTGTTCTGCTGCCTCTGTAAATGCTGCTTGTATAACTGCATTAAATGGTACAATATGTGCATGGGATTATACATTAAATAAATGTAGAGATAAAGACTGTTAAGATTTTATAGGAACAACTCACACCATTTGTTAGACTTAAAGGATAAGGATGTACTGCTGGACCAAAATGGTAGATGTGCTAGAGTTTAAAGTTGTGAATTAACTACTATTAGAGAAGCTTGTATTGAAGGCACAAATGGGCCATGTTTATGGATTGAGAAGTTTGCCACTAGTGATGGGTCAAAAGGAGCTTGTTTTGCTTATACATCATGCAAGAGTTTAGCTTGGAATAATGATGAATCTTGTAAATTGATAAGTAATAAATGTACAACTAATGGAACTAATTGTATTGGAATTACATTATGCACTGAGACAAATGTTGATGGTGGATGTGCTACAGGATATGATGGATCTTGCATTTAATCTGTTCCTGCTTTAAATTCTTCTGATCCTAAGATTTGTAAACCATTTAAATCATGTGCAGATGCCTTTTATGCAACTCATAAAGATTGTTAAATTGCTAATAAAAAATGTACAACAGATGGAACTACTGGTTGCATTCCTTTAGGTGCATGTTCAACATATTAATCTTAACCAGGATGTATAGTTAGATGATAAAGGATCTGTAGTTGAATCTGGTGTTATAACTTCAACAGGTGTTTGTACTTGGGATATGAGTAAAAGTGTTTGTAGAGATTAAATTTGCTCTGATTTGAATGGTGTTACTCATTCAATTTGTAATTCTTAATTATCAACCTGTACTTCAGATGGTACTAAATGTTTACTTAAAACAAATTGTTCTAGTTATTCAACCTAAATTATTTGTTCAACAGCTGTTGGAAATGATGGAATTTGCTTTTGGGAGGTTGGTTCTACTACTAATAATAATACAGCCAAATGTAGATTACTTTCTTGTGCTGATATTCAAAATGGAACATCCATTAGTGTTTGTTAAGCTGCTTTACCATCTTGCATTTCAAATGGTAACCTATTTGTATCCCAAAGGCTAAATGTTCAACTTACACAACTAAAACAGCTTGTAATTTTGGTGGATTAGATGGACTCTGTGTATTTACATAATCAACTTCTGCATAGGCTGTAGCTGATAGTGGAACTTGTACTTTAATGAATTCATGTTCATCTGCAAATAATGATTAAACTGCTTGTGTAGCTGCATAAGATAGATGTTCATGGAGTCCAGCTAGTTCTAGTATTACAAGTATATGTACAAGTCATACATGTGGTACATATAATCAAGTGAGTGGAACTTGTTCAAGATTCTTTAATTGGGATAAATAATCATAATAGATATGTTCTATGATTAATGGAATATGTACAGCAACTGATCCATCAACATTAAAATAAAGTGATTGTTTTAATCTTTCAGGATATACGGATAGGTAGGCTATAACCTAGCGCTTTGCCCCACC